ATGTGTGTGTGTGTGTATGTATATATATATATATATATATATATATATATATGTGTGTGTGTGTGTGTGTGTGTGTGTATATATATATGCATGCGTGGGGTGTTTATACACACACACACACACTCACATACATGCACACCTGTGGAATGAGGTCCAGGGTGAGAGAATGAACTCTTTGTCTGTTGGAGGCAAGTGTGAAGGTTGCAATTGGCCACTGTGATGAGCATTGAATGGCCTTGCAGCTTCAAAGCCTGGCTGGCTGCTGCCTGGGGGCTCCTTTGTTCAGAGGCGTCAGCTGGCCCTGGTTGATTCTTTTCTGGAACTCCTGTTTTACGAGTGTTGCTTTTTATTTACTAGGAATTAATTAAGCAAGGGGTAGAGACTTGAACCCAGGACTGTGGCTATATACAAAGTGGGGTGTGTGTGTATATATACACACACACACACACACACACACACACACACACACACACACCCCTGTGGAATGAGGTCCAGGGTGGGAGAATGAACTCTTGTCTGTTGGAGGCAAGTGTGAATGTTGCCATTGAATGGCCTTGCAGCTTCAAAGCCTGGTTGCCTGCTGCCTGGGGGGGATCCTTTGTTTGGAGGCATCAGCTGGCCCTGATTAATTCTTGTCTGGATTTCCCCTTTTTTCTAAGTTCTTCTTTGTTTACTGTCCTGGTTTTACAATTTTTTAAACACTGGGAGCCAGATTGTGTTCCTGTTCATGGCTTCTCTTTGATTAGCATCAAATGGCCTTGCAGCTTCAAAGCCTGGCTGGTTGCTGTCTGAGGCAATCCTTTGTTGGGAGGTGTCGGCTGGCCCAGATTGATTCTTGTCAGGAATTCCTGGTTTTTTTTAGTGTTGTATTTTTATTTACTAGGAATGAATTACGTGTGGCATCGTGACTTGAATCCAGGAGTGTGGCTATACATGAAGCAGTGTGTGTGTGTATACACACACACACACACACACAAACTGCTTCATGTATAGCCACAGTCCTGGGTTCAAGTCACTATGCCACACTTAATTAATTCCTAGTAAATAAAAAGCATACACACACAAACATACCGGTTTATGTTTCGGTCAATAAACAAATAATGCTAATATATAATAATATAATAACCTCACACACACACACACACACACACACCCCTATGGAATGAGGTCCAGAGTGGGAGAAAGAACTCTTGTCTGCTGGAGGCAAGTGTGAATGTTGCCATTGCATAGCCTTGCAGCTTCAAAGCCTGTCTGCCTGCTGGGCTCCTTTGTTCAGAGGTGTTAGCTGGCCCGGATTGATTCTTGTCTGGAATTCCTGTTTTGTTGAGTGTTGCTTTGTATTTATTAGGAATCCATTAAGTGTGGCATAGAGACTTGAACCCAGGACTGTGGCTCTGAACAGACCAGGTGCCTTTATAGGAGAGGAGTCACACTCTCTCAGCCTCAAAGGCAGGCAGACCCCACTGGAATCTTATCAATAATCTATATCTATTATAGATTATCAATAATCTATAATAATCTGCAGGAGGGTCGGCCTGAGCCCCAAAGACCTTGAAGCCACACAACAACGAGAGGAGTGGCACTCTCTCAGCCTCAAAGACCCCATTTGAACCTATCAATAATCTATATGTATTATTGATTATCTATCAATAATCTATAATAATCAGCAGGAGGGTCGGCCTGAGCCCCAAAGACCTTGAAGCACAACAACGAGGAGTCGCACAGCCTCAAAGGAAGGCCGACCCCACTGGAATCTTATCAATAATCTATATCTATTATTGATTATCTATCAATAATCTATAATAATCTGCAGGAGGGTCGGCCTGAGCCCCAAAGGCCTTGAAGCCACACAACAACGAGAGGAGTCGCACTCTCTCAGCCTCAAAGGAAGGCAGAGCCCACTGGAATCTTATCACTAATCTATATGTATTATTGATTATCTATCAATAATCTATAATTATCAGCAGGAGGGTCGGCCTGAGCCCTCAAAGGCCTTGAAGCCACACAACAACGAGAGGAGTCACACTCTCTCAGCCTCAAAGGAAGGCAGACCCCACTGGAATCTTATCACTAATCTATATGTATTATTGATTATCTATCAATAATCTATAATAATCAGAACCCGGGACTGTGGCTCTGAACCGATCAGGTGCCTTTATAGGAGTCGCACTCTCTCAGCCTCAAAGGAAGGCCGACCCCACTGGAATCTTATCAATAATCTATATCTATTATTGATTATCTATCAATAATCTATAATAATCTACAGGAGGGTCGGCCTGAGTCCTCAAAGGTCTTAAAGCCACACAACAACAGCAATTCATGGTTTAGGATCCCTTACCTGGAACGTGGCTTAACTCCCATGTCCAGCCCCACAAAGCACTACCCCTCCCATCATCCCCAAACCCCTTCCCCCCCAAATAATATCGGGGACCCCTTTGTCTTCCAGGAGGGGAGGGGTCTCCTTTAATGCCAATTTTGTACAAACCAAAGAAGAGAATTCCATGCAAATAAAATAGGTAGAAACAAGGAGGGGGGGGGGGGTCCAAAGGGTGATGAAGGCAAAGAGGACTACAAAACCCATGCGTTCCAGGACACAACCCCCCTCCCCCTCCCCAAAACCCACCCCCCTCTTCCTCTTTAAATAGATTTCTGAAGTATAGCTTTGCTTTCTCCATATCTTACAAGTATTTACATTTGGGGGGGGGGGGATTAGGGGAGATTGCAGTCCAAAGATGGGGAGACCCCCCCCCCCCATTTTGATTAATTCCTGTGTCGAAAGACCCCCCCCCCTTCTTGGACTGATTTTCCTGCTTCTTGGCAGGGGGTTGGACTGGCTAGCCCTCGAGGTCTCTTAAGGGGCTGAGGGGGAAAAGGAAGGGGCCTGAGGCTGTTAGGAATTGTGGGAGTTGTAGTCCAAAACACCTGGAGGGAGGGCCCAAGTTGGCCCACCATGGCTACATTACTGGGAAATTGGAGTGGGGGGGCATCCATCAAAAGTGCATGACAGGAGAGATATTGGGGGGGGGGCATCTTCTCCAAAGTGGGACCCCTCCCCAAATGCACCCCTAACCCCCCTCCCCCCATAATTTGGGAAATATATATATATCTCTATATAGGGCTTGGCACAGGTATAAGGCGAAGCGTGCGTTTCGTGAGGGGAGGGGGCCACGGCATCCATCAAAAGTGCATGACAGGAGAGATATTGGGGGGGGGGCATCTTCTCCAAAGTGGGACCCCTCCCCAAATGCACCCCTAACCCCCCTCCCCCCATAATTTGGGAAATATATATATATCTCTATATAGGGCTTGGCACAGGTATAAGGCGAAGCGTGCGTTTCGTGAGGGGAGGGGGCCACAGGGAGAGGGGAGGGGGCTCAGTCTGAGCGCGGAGGAGGGGGGCACCCCCCCCCCAAAGAGAAGGGGAGACCCTCCTCAAAGTCTCTATTGCACCGTCCTTGAAATGGGGAGACAAATAGGACCCCCACCCCCCACCCCACCATAGTTTCTTGGGGGGAAGCAGAGGGGGTCTTGGCTGGGGCGAAGACTCCGTCGAAGGGGCTTCTGCGAGTTTTCCGGGCTTCCTGTAGCATTCTCTCCTGACGTTTCACCCACATCTATGGCAGGTATCCTCCGAGGTTGTGAGGTCTGTTGGAAACTAGGCAAGTGGGGTGTGCGCGCGTGTATGTATATGTATATATATATACACACACACACACATTTACACTCCGGTAGCATTCTCTCCTGACGTTTCACCCACATCGATGGCAGGCATCCTCAGAGATTGTGAGGTCTGTTGGAAACTAGGCAAGTGGGGTGTGTGTGCGTGTATGTGTGTGTATATATATATATATATACACACACACACCCCTTTGGAATGATGTCCAAGGTAGGAGAAAAAAACTCTTGTCTGCTTGAGGCAAGTGTGAATGTTGCAATTAGCCACCTTGATTAGCACTTGATTAGCTTCAAAGCCTGGCTGGCTGCTGCCTGGGATGGAATGATGTCTATGGTAGGAGAAAAAAATTCTTGTCTGCTTCAAGCAAGTGTGAATGTTGCATTTAGCCATCTTGAGTAGCATTGAATAGTCTTGCAGCTTCAAAGCCTGGCTGGCTACTTCCTGGGAGGAATTAGCTGTGCCTGGCGGTTTCCTGTCTGGAATTCCTGTTTTCTGAGTGTGGGGTCTTTGTTTATTGTCCTGATTTTAGAGTTTTTTAAATAGTGGGAGCAAGATAGTGTTCATGTTTTCACCTTGATTAGCATTGAATGGCCTTGCAGCTTCAAAGCCAGGCCACTTCCTGACTGGGGGAATCCTTTGTTGGGAAGTGATTAGCTGTTCCTGAATGTTTCCTGTCTGGAATTCCCCTGTTTTCTGCGTGTTCCTCTTTGTTTACTGTCCTGATTTTAGAGTTTTTAAATAGTGGGAGCCAAATTGTGCTCATGTTTTCACCTTGATTAGCACTGAATGGCCTTGCAGCTTCAAAGCCAGGCCACTTCCTGACTGGGGGAATCCTTTGTTGAAAGGTGTTAGCTGTTCCTGAATGTTTCCTGTCTGGAATTCCCCCGTTTTCTGCGTGTTCATCTTTGTTTACTGTTCTGATATTAGAGTTTTTTTAAATACTGGTAGCCAGATTGTGTTCATGTTCATGGTTTCACCTTGATTAGCACTGAATGGCCTTGCAGCTTCAAAGCCAGACCACTTCCTGACTGAGGGAATCCTTTGTTGGGAAGTGATTAGCTGTTCCTGAACGTTTCCTGTCTTGATTTCCCCTGTTTTCTGAGCGTTCTTCTTTGTTTACTGTCCTGATTTTAGAGGTTTTTTTTTAATACTGGGAGCCAAATAGTGTTCATGTTCATGGTTTCATCTTTATTAGTATTAAATGGCCTTGCAGCTTCAAAGCCTGGGTGGCTGCTGCGTGGGAGGAATCCTTTGTTGGGAGGTGATTAGCTGTCCCTGATTGTTTCCTGTCTGGAATTCTCCTGTTTTCTTTGTTTACTGTCCCAATACTGGGAGCCAGATTGTGTTCATGTTCATGGCTTCACCTTGTTTAGCACTGAATGGCCGTGCAGCTTCAAAGCCTAGGTGGCTGCTGGCTGGGAGGAATCCTTTGTTGGGAGGTGATTGGCTGGCCCTGATTGTTTCCTGCCTGGAATTCCCCTATTTTTTTGAGTTTTGCTTATTTACTGTCCTGATTATAGATTGTGTCCATGTTCATGGTTTCCTCCTTTCTGTTGACATTGTCCACCTGCTTCTCGTGGATTTCAGTGGCTTCTCTGTGTCGTCTGGCATGGTCGTTGCCAGAGTGGTCCCACATTTCTGTGGATTCCCCCAGGCAGGAAACAGCCAGGCTTTGCAGCTGCAAGGCCCTTCAACGCTAACCAAGCTGACCAATTGCAACACTCACACTTGCCTCCAACAGACAAGAGTTCTTTCTTTCTCCCTCCCTGGACATCGTTCCACAAATATATCAACCCCAGCATTCCTGTGGATTCCCCCACGCAGGAAACAGCCAGGCTTTGCAGCTGCAAGGCCATTCAATGCTAATCAAGGTGATCAATTGCAACATTCACACTTGCCTCGAGCAGGCAAGAGTGCTTTCTCCAACCCTGGACATCCTTCCACAGATCGGAAAGATGTCCAAACCTCACTTGCCTAGTTTCCAACAGACCTCACAACCTCTGAGGCTGCCTGCCATAGATGTGGGTGAAACGTCAGGAGAGAATGCTTCTGGAACTTGGCAGCCCGAAAAACCTACAACAACCCAGTGATTCTGGCCATGAAAGCCTTTGACGACGCAGGCTTCATCCCGTCGTCTTCTTCTCTTCGGCCTAAGTGGCCAGGCCTCTCTTCTGTGAGGGGGGGTCCACTTCCTGCCGCTGCTTCAGCTCCTTCATCCTGAGAAGAGGGGAGTGGGGGGGGGGGGGGGGGGGGGGGGGGGGAGAAAATATTCGGATTTAGGAATGGACGTCATTCACTGCAATGGGGTTCCCATTATTATGATATTGCATATTATTATTATTATATGGAAGCTCCTTCTTTGGAGGCTTCTAAGCAGAGGCTGGATGGCCATCTGTCGGGGGGGCTTTGAATGTGATTTCCCTGCTTCTTGGCAGAATGGGGTTGGACTGGGTGATGGCCCACCAGGTCTCTTCCAACTCAAGGATTCTATGAGTCTATGACATATTATCATAACTACAATAGTGTGTGTGTGTGTGTGTGTGTGTATATATATATATATCTTATGATATAGTACAATATATTACATAATACTAATAGTATAATATACTGGTAGTGTATTATATATATTGTGGTATAATAGTAGAATATATAATACGCTACCAGTATATTATTATATATATAATACACTACCAGTACATTATATTATTATATAGTAGAATACAACAATATATAATAATATAATAATTGCATATTATATATTAAATATAATATTACTAATAATATTGCAGTATGATGGTATAGCACAATATGGTATTATATAATACTCATATTGTGCTATGCTAATATTATATATATATATATATATATATATATATATATATATATATATATATAATATTGAAATAATATTTTATTTTTTTGTCATGTCGGGAGCGACTTGAGAAACTGCAATAATAATATTTATAATATGATTATAATTTTTTATAATATTATTTATAATAATATTATGGTATAGCACAATATAGTATTATATAATACTCATATTGTGCTATGCTAATATTATATATATATATATGTATATGTATATGTATGTGTATATATATATATATAGTATTGAAAATAATATTTTATTTTTTGTCATGTCAGGAGCAACTTGAGAAACTGCAATAATAATATTTATAATATTATTTATAATAATATGATGGTATAGCACAATATAGCATTATATAATACTCATATTGTGCTATGCTAATATATTTTATATAGATATAAAATATAGAAAATAATATTTTATTTTTTTTGTCATGTCAGGAGCAACTTGAGAAACTGCAATACTAATATTTATAATATGATTATAATTTTTTATAATATTATTTATAATAATATGATGGTATAGCACAATATAGTCTTATATAATACTCATGTTGTGCTATGCTAATATTATATATATATATATATCGTATTGAAAATAATATTTTATTTTTTTGTCATGTCAGGAGTGGCTTGAGAAACTGCAATAATATTTATAATATTATTATAAATTTTTATAATATTATTTATAATAATATTATAAATAATATATATATATATTATAAAGAATATTATAATATAACACCATACAACATGAATAATAATACAATATAAGAATATATAAATAATTGTATATTATATATTACATGTAATATTACTAGTAATGTTGCAGTATAGTAGTATAGCACAATGTAGTAATATACAATATTAATACTGTGCTATGCTGATAATATAATATATACATATAATATTGATAATAATATAATGTAATACAGTGTAATACTAATACAATATACAGTCGGGAGGTCTGACTTGGCCACGGTGGTACACGCTCTGGTCACATCCCGCCTTGACTACTGCAACGCTCTCTACGTGGGGCTGCCCCTGAAGACGGCCCGGAAGCTTCAGCTAGTCCAGCGCGCGGCAGCCATGTTACTAACTGGAGCGGGTCGCAGGGAGCACACAACGCCCTTGCTGTACCAGCTCCATTGGCTGCCGACCTGCTACCGGGCCCAATTCAAGGTGCTGGTGTTAGCCTACAAAGCCCTAAACGGTTCCGGCCCAAAATACCTGTCAGACCGCATCTTGGCCTACGAGCCCACGAGGGCCTTAAGATCGTCCGGGGAGACCCTTCTCTCGATCCCGCCTGCCTCACAGGCACGCCTGGTGGGGACGAGAGAGAGGGCCTTCTCGGTGGTGGCCCCCCGGCTGTGGAACACTCTCCCTGTAGACATCAGACAGGCGCCCTCCCTTATGTCTTTTCGTAAAGGCTTAAAGACATGGCTATTCGAGCAGGCATTTAATTAAATGCTACAATTAGTTTTGGCAAGACAACTGGAACGGAATTTGGATTATGAGCTTGGCTATGATTCTACTATGAGACGGAGCGGATCATTTAGTGTAATTATATAATTGTTATATTGTGGATATGTTGTTTTGTATTGCCTTTTGTAATTTGCCTTTTACATGTTGTACACCGCCGCGAGTCGCCCTAGGGCTGAGAGCGGCGGTCAACAAATGCACCAAATAAATAAATAATAAATAAATATAATCATATAATATTTGTATATTATATATTACATGTAATTTTACTAATAATATTGTGGTGTAGTGCAATATAGTAATATTAATATTGTGCTATGCTAATAATATAATATTAAATACACATGTAATATTAAAAATAATATTATAATGTAATACAATACTAATAATACAATATAGTAATATATAGTAATAGCATTGTAATATAATAATATTAATATATTAAATATGGTGCTACTGATAATATATAATAACAATATATCATGATAGACTATTATTAATTTATCTTTGTATATTGGAAGTTGTAATGTTTTTGATTGTGAGCTGCTTTGAGTCTCCATCGGTAAGAGATAAATAGAGCAGAATATCAATCAATCAATCAATCAATCAATCATTCATGCCTAATTGCAAGTGCAGGACCCATGTCCCACCATAACTCTCAACGAGACCCCCCCCCCCCCCCCACTCAATGTAATGCTGGGGAAGGGTCCCAAGTCCCATTGCCCCCCCCCTTGGGTACCTGTGGCGGCAGCGGCGCAGGAAGCGCATGATCTTCCGGGCGGCTTGATCCTGCTTCTTGGTCAGGAAGTTTCCTCTGCTGGGAGGAAGCAAAGCAGGTTAGAGAAAGGAAGCGGGGCTGCAATGCAATGCTCTTTCCTTGGTTTCCTACCTCTCTTCCTGGATCAATGCAACTCAAGGGGTTTCTGTGTCCTGCCTCCAGTTTGAGTGGGCATGGGCCAACTTTGGCCCTCCAGGTGTTTTGGACTTTAACTCTCACAATTCCTGGGGACCAAAATTGGGGACCAAAACTAAAAATATTGGGGACCAAAATCTATCTATCTATAACATCTATCTATCTATCTATCTATCTATCTATCTATCTATCTATCTATCTATCTATCTATCTATCTATCTGTAACATCTATCTATCTATCACATCCATTCATCACATCTATCCATAATATCTATCACATCTATCTATCTATCTGTCTGTCTATCTATCTATAATATCTATCTATCTATCCATCTATCAATAATATCTATCTATGTATATCGATCTATAACATCTATCTATCTCCTTTATTTATCCATCTATACTATCTATCTATCTATCTATCTATTATATCTATCTATATCTATCTATCTATCTCATTTATTTATCCATCTATCACATCCATCTATCTATCTACCTATTTCATTTATTTTCCATCTATAACCTCTATCTATCTATCTATCTATCTATCTATCTATCTATCTATCTATCTATCTATCTATCTATCTATCATATCTACCTATAATATCTATCTATCTATCTATCTATCTATCATATCTACCTATCATATCTATCTATCAATAATATCTATCTATGTATATCGATCTATAACATCTATCTATCTCCTTTATTTATCCATCTACCGCATTGAGTCGCCTGTTTGGGCTGAAAAATGCGGTATAGAAATAAAGCAAACAAACAAATAAATAAATAAATCTATAACATCTATCTATCTCATCTATCTATCTATCTATTATATCTATCTATATCTATCTCATTTATTTATCCATCTATCACATCTATCTCTCTATCTATCTATTTCATTTATTTTTCCATCTATAACCTCTATCTATCGATCTATCGATCTATCGATCTATCTATCTATAATATCTATCTATCTATCTATCTATCTATCTATCAATAATATCTATGTATATCTATCTATAACATCTATCTCATTTATTTATCCATCTATAACATCTATCTATCTATCTATCTATCTATCTATCTATCTATCTATCTATCTATAATATCTATGTATATCTATCTATAACATCTATCTGTCTATCTAATTTATTTATCCATCTATAACATTATCTATCTATTATATCTATCTATAATATCTATGGATGTCTATCTATCTTTAACATATATCTATCTATCTCATTTATTTATCCATCTAAAACATCTATCTATCTATCTATCTATCTATCTATCTATCTATTATATCTATCTATAATATCTATGTATGTCTATCTATCTATAACATCTATCTATCTCCGTTATTTATCCATCTATAACATCTATCTATCTATCTATAATCAATCAATCAATCAATCAATGTCTTATTTCACGCACTCCATCTTCTGGCTTTAGCATAGCATGGCTGTTGAGAGTGTGAGGACTCCTACAACCACGCACCTGAGTGACCATCCCCAACTATGGATATAGCTTATATGGAAAGTTAATAGGATGATGATGATGATGATGATGATGATGATAATAATAATAGGAAGGGCAGGGGCCAAGCGAGGAGGAGGACAAGAATGAGGGGGGGGACACAAGTGACCACTCGGCCGTGGTAACGCATCCTCCGGACTTGGCAAAGAGCCAGAGCGTTGCAGTGCCAATCCCTCCCCAGTGCCGTCTATTTTGGGCAATGACCCTCCCAGAATCCCCCGCTCGCTCCCAAGAAGGACAAGGACCGTGCCGAGGCCTGGCTGCGTCCAGGGGATTCCGGCCAGGGCCTGGCCTGACCTCACGGGCTAAAATTACTCCGGTTCCAGCATAAGGGCCAAGCGAGAAGGGAGGCAAAACAAATAATGATGACATTGGAAGGCAGGCACTGGCCAACTTGGGCCCTCCCCACAAGTGTTTTGGACTTCTCACAGCCAAGGAGTCCTTGTGGGAGTTGGAGTCCAATTCACCTGGAGGGAGGGCCCAAGGTCACCTGTGCCTCTTCTAAGTCACTAATGGCGGAAAAATGCCCCTAATTCCCTGCCGTGACTTTGGGGACGAGGAGGTGACCTTTCAGCACCTTGGAGAGAGGCCAAGAGGCTCAACCGGGGCGCTCCACGCATCACTTGACCGCTAACCCATTGCGTTCCTTTTGAAACCTAGCTTTTGTCCTTCCGCTTGGAAAGTGACTGACACCTTTCATCATCACCGTTTGATGAGGACGGGGTGTCTGGTGACTTCCAAACAGTACGCTGTCAGAATGGGTCAAGGTCTCACCCCAGAATTAAGGACAGGCAGCCCCCAAGTTACGAGCAAGGGAGCTTCTGTAGCTCTTAAGCTGAATGTGTATGTAAGTCAGAACGGGGACATTTTTAAAGTGTAACTGCAGGTAGAAGGTTCTTACGTTGAATTTGTATGTAAGTTGGAACAAGGACATATTTAAAGTGTAAATCCAGATATGTATGTATAAGCTTGAGACTGAATAGGGAAGAGTCCATACACCTCTGTGGGGTCTCCTTTGCGGTCTCAGCCTTGCTTTTAACTAGGAGTCATTTATAAGTTAGGTGCTTACAACATCAGGACAGCTGGTATTCATACTGGTCTCTAGTGATGTCCTCCAGGTGAATGGAACTAAGGGCCTATCTAGCTACTTATCACATCTATCTATCTATCTATCTATCTATCTATCTGTATCACAGCTATCTATTTATCGACCTACAACATCTGTCTATCTGTATCAGTGGTCCTCAACCTGTGGGTCCCCAGATGTTTATGCCTTCAACTCCCAGAAATCCAAACAGCTGGTAAGCTGGCCAGGATTGCTGGGAGTGGTAAGCCATAACACCTGGGGATACCCAGGTTGAGAACCACGGGTCTATAACATCTATCTATAACATCTGTCTGTCTGGCTGGCTGGCTATCGATCACATTTATCTATAACATCTGTCTATCACATCCATCCTTCCATTTATCAATTCAATCACATCTATCTGTCACATTTATCCATCCATCATTTTATTCCATCCATCCATCCTTTTCATCCATCAATCCATCCATCCATTCATTCATCCTTTTCATCCATCAATTCATCCATCCATTCATCCATCCTTTTCATCCATCCATCCATCCACCCATCCATCCATCCTTTTCATCCATCCATCCATTCATCCATCCTTTTCATCCATCCATCCATTCATCCATCCTTTTCATCCATCCATTCATCCATCCTTTTCATCCATCCATTCATCTATCCATTCATCTATCCTTTTCATCCATCAATTCATCCATCCATTCATCCATCCATCCATCCATCCATCCTTTTCATCCATCAATCCATCCATCCATCCTTTTCATCCATCCATCCATCCATCCATTCATCCATCCATCCATCCTTTTCATCCATCTTTTTCATCCATCAATCCATCAATCCATCCATCCATCCTTTTCATCCATCAATCCATCCATCCATCCATCCATCCATCCATCCATCCATCCTTTTCATCCATCAATCCATCCATCCATTCATCCATCCTTTTCATCCATCAATCCATCCATCCATCCATCAATCCATCCATCCTTTTCATCCATCAATCCATCCAGTCCTCAATCCATCCATCCATCAGTCCATCCATCCATCCATCGGTCCATCCATCCAGTCCTCAATCCATCCATCCATCATCCATCCATCATCCATCCATCCATCCATCCATCCATCCATCCATCCATCCATCCATCCTTTTCATCCATCCATCAATCCATCCATCCTTTTCATCCATCAATCCATCCATCCATCCTTTTCATCCATCAATCCATCCATCCATCCATCCTTTTCATCCATCAATCCATCCATCCATCCATCCATCCATCCATCGATCCATTCATCCATCCATCCATCCATCCATCCTTTTCATCCATCCATCAATCCATCCATCCTTTTCATCCATCAATCCATCCATCCATCCTTTTCATCCATCAATCCATCCATCCCCCTTTTCATCCATCCATCCATTCATCCATCCTTTTCAACCCATCCATCCATCCTTTTCATCCATCCATCCATTCATCCATCCTTTTCAACCCACCCATCCATCCATCCATCCATCCATCCATCCTTTTCATCCATCCATCCATTCATCCATCCTTTTCAACCCATCCATCCATCCATCCATCCATCCTTTTCATCCATCCATCCGCCTGCCTGGCTATTTATAATATCTATCTATCTATCTATCTATCAATCTATCTATCGGGCTTGGGCAATGCAGGGTTCTAAATGGTTCTAAAGTGCTTACAAAACTAAAGTTCCGGTGGTGAAAATTTCAGAACTCTAACAAAACTCTCAATATTTCATTAAAAATGGCAGTTCCTAATTGGTTCTGTCATAAAAATAATGAAATAATAATTAAATTTTCAAAGTTTTGTACACTTTGCCTCCAAAGCTTCTCCTGCTGACTACCCACAGGTCTGTGGGAAGAGCAGGACGAGGAGCCTGCCAGGAGGGCCATTGGGCTGGCTCAGGGGGTCGGCAGCCATTTTGGAGGGGGCGGGGCCAGCCAAGGCAGCTTCACGACCCCCCGAAAATGGTCGAACGACCTCTCCAGGGGCCGCGAACCCCAGGTTGAGAACCGTTGATCTACAACATACAACTATCTATCTATCACATCAATCTATTTATCCATCTATAACATACAACTATCTATCTATCTCTCTATCGGACGTATCGATCGTGGTGTGGTGGCACGCACTTGATCTTCTGGCTGATGGCGGCGGCTGCCCGGTGTCCCTGCTTGAGCTTCTCGTACTCCTTGTAGCTGCGGTAGTACTGCTGGATGAGGACGGCCGCCCGGCGGCTCTGCTGGAACTTCTTCTGCTCGTAGTAGCTGCGGAACTTGCTCTGGATCAGGATGGCCGCCTGCGTCATCTTCTTATACAAGGCGTACTGCGGGAGGGAAGGAAGGAGGCCGGAGAAAGGGTTACGGGCAGGCACGGGTCAACTTCGGCCCTCCCAACAGGGGTTTTGGACTTCAGCTCCCAAGGGAGAAACTACAGGAATATATTTTTAATAATTGTGCCCACCATGATAGGCAGGCCATTAACAACTCCCAATTCTCCCACTGGTTTAGACTGTACAAACTTGACCATGATAGGGCTATCTACCTGACTAGGCTCACATTTCCAAAACTTAGACAAGCCAAAGTATGCCCACAGCAGTGATTGATGGCAGATATACGGGCACCCCTCTGGCTCTCCGTTTACGTGTTTGCGGAGCCCCAGAACTTGAGGATCTGCCTCACTATTTGCTTTTCTGCCCTTTGTATTCTGATCCAAGAACCAAAATACTCGGGTTTATTCTTCACCTCCTTCAGACCAACACTGTGTCCGAAAAGATTTTCTATCTCTTGGCTGACACTAACCCCGTGGTTACTCACAAGGTGTCTCTTTTTGCCCTGGCAGCACAGAAAATCCGGGCAAAACTAATCTCTGATATTGCAGTTGACTGTGCTGGGGATGCTTTCAACTAATAGTGGCTGTTTGTGTAGTTTTAATAATGCTGTATCTATTTGCTTTTACTTGGTTTTCAATTACGCAGGTATGAGTCTACACATTATGTAGTATTTTAAAGCTGCATCTTGCTATCGACGTATGTAGCATTTTAATGATTTATAGGACTTTATGGTGTATTTTATATTGTATTTGATAATCTGGTGTTCATGTATTTATTTGTTTGCCTTGACTTGTATGTGAAAGACCTATGGTCTAAGCATCGAATAAAACTACCTACCACAGACTTCAGCTCCCACAACGTGTGTGTGCAGATGGTAGGCTGTTACGAATGATGGGAGTTGAAGTCCAAAAGACCTGGAGGGCCAAAGCTCGTTAAGCGATCACCAGGGCACACATATTTCCATACAAGGGGGGGGGGGGTTGGATGACCCTACGACGTCCATGGCTGTAGCCAAAAAATTTTGGGGGGGGGGGGGTGAAACTTTTTTTTGTGAATCATCAGAGTATTGTCGAAGTCTTTCATGGCCGGAATCACTGGGTTGTTGTAGGTTTTACCAGGCTATATGGCCATGTTCTGGAGGCAATTTTTCTCCTGACGTTTCGCCTGCATCTATGGCAAGCATCAAGCTAATCAAGGTGATCAGCTCAAACATTCACACCTAGCTCCAGCAGACAAAAGCCCTTTGTCCCACCCTGGTCATTCCACAGATATATAAACCCATTTTCCTACTTCCAACAGACCTCACTACCTCTGAGGATGCTTGCCATAGATGCAGGTGAAACGTCAGGAGAAAATGCCTCTAGAACATGGCCATATAGCCTGAAAAAACCTACAACAACCAAGTAAAGTTTCATCACACAACAACAACATTTTTAATACAGTCCAAAGACCCTTATTGCTCCGTAAAAGGTATACGATACAAGGTATGCAAGGTTAGTAAGGCCAAAAATAGCCAAAAAAATTAGGGTTTTTTTAACCTGAAAAAATTTGGGGAGGGGGGGTTGAACCCCTAACCACCCCCACCCCCCTGGCTACAGACCTTGGAAAAATCCTCGTCCTGCCTCCTCTCTATTGATACTGGTCTGGGGGGCTCGTGGGGGCCCTTCCCCACCCCACAAATAGCCTTTACCTTTCTCCCCAACCCTGACTGAAGGCACAGTAACCCATTTGCCCCCCCCCCTCCTTTTTACCTTCAGAGCAATCCAGGTGAGCTTGCAAGACAGAGGAGAGAGCAGGGTTAGCGGGAAGCCAGGGGTCTGGGGTCTCTGGGCTGCCCTCAGAATCCATTATTGGCAAGGGTCTTGGGAGATTGAACGCAAGGCCCTCCTCCCCCAGGAAGGACATCAAGGACCCCCCTCCTTTCCTCCCTCCCGATGGTACATACCTGCTTGTACTTGCGGTAGCATCGCTGGATGACCGCGGCAGCCATCTCCTGCTGCTCCTTCAGCCGGCGGCCCTGGAAGAGACCAAAAGGAAGGAGGCCTAATGGTCAGAGCACCCCTTGTCCTGAGGCAGGCCTGGGCCAACTTCAGCCCTCCCTCCAGGTGTTTTGGACTTCAACTCCCACAACCTATGCCCTGGAGACTAGGACTCAGTGGAGCCTTGGGTTCAAATGACATGAAAGGAGATTCCACTGAACATTAGGAAGAACTTCCTGACTGTGAGAGCCGTTCAGCAGTGGAACTCTCTGCCCCGGAGTGAGGTGGAAGCTCCTTCCTTGGAGGCTTTTAAGCAGAGGCCGAATGGCCCTCTGTCAGGGGTGCTTTGATTGTGCTTTCCCTGCATAATGGCAGAAGGGGGTTGAACTACATGGCCCTGGGAGGCCTCTTCCAACTCTAGGATGTTGTTGTTATTGTTATTATGGAGGCTGGATGACCCTCTGTCAGGAGAGCTTTGATTGTGCTTTTCCTACATCATAGCAGAAGGGAGTTGGACTAGATGGCCTTTAGAGGCCTCTTCCAACTCCAGTATTCTATTATTACTATTATTACTATTACTATTATTATTATGGAGGCTATATGGCCCTCTATAGGGGGAGCTTTGATTGTGCTTTTCCTGCATAATAGCAGAAGGGGGTTGAACTAGATGGCCTTTAGAGGCCTCTTCCAACTCTAGGATTCTATTATTATTATTATTATTATTATTATTATTATTATTATTACTATTGAGGTTATATAGCCCTCTGTCAGGAGAGCTTTGATGGTGCTTTTTCTACATCATAACAGAAGAGGGTTGGACTAAATGACCTTTAGAGGTCTTTTCCAACTCCAGGATTCTATTATTATTATTATTATTATTATTATTATGGAAGCTATATGGCCCTCTATTAGGGGAGTTTTGATTGTGCTTTTCTTGCATAATAGCAGAAGGGGGTTGGGCTTGATGGCTAGAGCTTCCAACTCTCAACTCTAGGATGCTATTATTATTATTATTATTATTATTATTATTATTATTATTATTATTATTATTATTATTATAGAGGCTGGATGGGCCTCTGTTTGGGGTGCTTTTCTTGTGCTTTTCCTGCATAGTGGCAGAAGGGGGTTGGACTAAGTGGCCTTTGGGGGACTAGGAGTCTATTATTATTATTATTATTATTATTATTATTATTATTATTATTATTATGGTGCTGTCTGGTCATCTGTTTGGGGTGCTTTGATTGTGTTTTTCCTGTACAGCAGGGGATTGGACTATCTTGCCTGTGTGGCCTTGGGGTCTCTCCCAACCCCGCGACCCCCTCCGCCCCCTACCTTGTACTTGCGGAAGGCGGTCTGGATGATCTTGGCGGCCTCGTAGAGCTCCCGCTGCTCGTGGTCGGAGAGGGTCAGCAGGGCGAAGTCGCTCTCCATCTTGCCGTTGGCCGAGGCGTTGAGGAACTCTGCCCAGCTGGCGGCCGAGGGGGGCGGGGGCAGGCGCTCCAGGGAGAGCTCCCCCAGCGGAGGGGGCAGCAGCAGCGGGCTCAGGCGCGAGGAGGGGGCCGGGGGCAGCGGGGAGGAGGGCAGCGAGGACGAGGACGATGAGGACGACGCCGAGGCCAAGGAGCTGCAGCCAGAGACACACACACACACACACACATACAGGTGTCATACCCTGCAATACAGGTGGGGCTAGCTCCGGCCCTCCCTCTGGGTGCTTTGGACTCCCACAACATGGGTATGCAGTTAACCCCTTGGTTGACTTCAGTGTCCAGTTCCAAGAGGACAAAGGCATGGGCCAGCTCCGGCCCTCCCTCCAGGTGTTTTGGAGTCCCAAACATGGGTATGCAGACGACCCCTTGGTTGACTTCAGTGTCCAGTTCCAAGAGGACAAAGGCATGGGCCAGCTCCGGCCCTCCCTCCAGGTGTTCTGGACTCCCATAACATGGGTATGCAGGTGACCCCTTGGTTGACTTCAGTGTCCAGTTCCAAGAGGACAAAGGCATGGGCCAGCTCTGACCCTCCCTCCAACTCCCATAACATGGGTATGCAGGTGACCCCTTGGTTGACGTAAAGGCATGGGCCAACTTGGGCCCTCCTTGCCTAGCCCTGGCTATACTCTGCTCTAAATGTCCTGCCCCCACCCACTGCCCCTCGTGTACCGTCTCTGGGCAGCGCTGGAGAGCTGGTCCACGTTCTCCAGGTAGCTGGCCAGCCAGGACATGGTCTCGCTCAGGCCCAGGTTGGAGGGCCGCTCCCTCAGAGGGGCCTCGGCCGAGGCAAAGTCCTCCTGCTTGATCCGCTCCGGAGTGGCCTCGATGATCTGCTTGGCCAAGGTGATCATGTCCACCTGCGCAGGTGAGAGGGAAAGCAGCACGGCTCACATGCGGGAAGGCAGGCTCCAGCCCTGCCCTTCACGTGGGCCGAGCGAGAGTGGGCAACAGCAAGGAGAGATGCCTGGCTCTAGGTGAGTGCGTTGGACCACCTGGGCTACAGGTATAGATGCACACCTGTTTTGGACGACAACTTCCTGAATTCCCCCCCCCCCCAAAAAAAACCCCTCAATACTGGCAATCTCTGAAGACCTCCCATCCAACTTTTAGATCATAATATAATAATAATAATAATAATAATAATAATAATAATAATACTTTATTTGTACCCCGCTACCATCTCCCAAGGGACTCGGTGCGGCTTACATGAGTCCGAGCCCACAACACAACAACAATAACAGCAATAATACAAAAACAATACAAAACTCATAGCAAAATAAGCAAAAACAATAACAATAACACGACACATGCACAGGAAGTTGCCTTTCTATTAGCCAGACAGTTTGGCCACCAAGTCCAGGACCCTAACCCTGACCCAACCCTGGGAGCTGCAGCTGGCAATTGAGCCTGGAAATCGAGGAAGTGGCTCTTGCAGTGAACCAGAACCTGGTGGGACTCACACCGGTTGGCAGCTATGGCTATGCATTGGGGATTCCAATGGCACAAGATGGATGGATCCTATAGCATTATGTCACACGATTCTTGATCCTGGGTTACCCATGCCATTTCCTAATTGGCCCTATCATAAAAAACATGGGGAAAAGTTTATTAAAGTGCCAAAACTTTTGTTTTTGTGGGAGGGACATTATCCTGCTCTAGTTTTCCAATGACTGCCTCATCATCAAGTCTCAACCCATTCAACAGGGTTAAACACCACGAAAACAAAAGTTTCTGGAGTAAAAACAAGTACTTTCAAACTCAGGACAATGAAACAGGAAATCACACTTTCAAACCATAAACTAAACATTTTGCAAATTTGGTTGCATATTGTTATTGTTTTTAAGTGGAGGAAGGAGGGGGAAGGCAGCCGTAACAGAGGTCGCATGGCCATCTTTCAGGAGGGTTTTGACTGTGCTTCTCCTGCCTGGCCAAAGTGGATTGGACTTGATGACTTTCTTTGAGGGGATCTCCCCCAATAACGTGAGATGATGATGATGATGATGATGATGATGATGATAATAATAATAATAATAATAATAATAATAATAATAATAATAATGTAATCCAAAAGTTGAAAAGGACCCTTCAAACACCATCTGGTCCAAGAGTTCTCTAGAAGATTCTGATCCGACTGCGCAGGCGCACGAAATACCATATGTACGGTTTCACAGCGACCACGACGAAGAAAAATATATCTACCGTATATTCCGGCATATAAGACGACTGGACGTATAAGACGACCCCCACATTTTCCAGTTAAAATATAGAGTTTGGGATATCCTCGCCATATAAGACTACCCCTCTTCCAACACACACCAAATAAAATTTTTAAAAGCATCAGATTTGATTTCAATATGGTAATTTTCCTATTACTGTCCCTCCTTCTCTGCCTCTCAGATCTGGCACATGCGCACCTGTACCGCTTCACTGCAGTCTTCAGGAGCGAGATCTGAGAGGCAGAGGAGGAGGGACGGTAATAGGATTCAAGGGCGGGCCAGACAGGTAAAAGAGATGTGTTTGTCTGGGCGCAGAGCCACTCAATCTCTTTTTTCCATACCCCGGGGCATGGTCTGCCCTTCACTTACACCTTCCCGGCGAGCCCCCCCCCCCCTTCACCTCTACATTGCGACTGCGTTAAGTCCATGAATCCTGATGAATGGATTTTCTTCTACCATACATGTACAGCGTTGCCCTTAATGCTTTCATACAGTCGCTGCATACGGTAGGGACGCGACCACTGCCATTTTTGAGCTCCCCCCACCATATGTAGCAACCACAGATTCTCCAACCCGGATCGGAAGTTTCAGCACCCGCTCTATAAGACGACTCCCACCATATAAGGCTACTCCCGCATATAAGACGACTCCCAGGCATAAGGCTACTCCAGCGTATAAAACAACTCCCACATATAAGACGACCAGCGTATAAGAAGACCCCTGACTTTTGAGAAGATTTTCTTGGGTTAAAAAGTAGTCTTATACACCAGAATATACGGTATATAAATAAAAATGTAACATTCATTTGTGGGATTAATACAACTCAAAAACCACTGGCAAACTGACACCAAATTTGGACACAAGACACCGATCAGGCCAAGAAGTGACCATCACTCATAAAAACACAGCAGAAGAGACTTAAAAAGCCAAAAAAATAAAAAATACATTACAACGCATGCACAAAACCACATATATACACAAACACACATATATATACACATATACACAAATATATAAACACACAAAACACATATACCCAGACTGGGCCACAGCAACGCATGGCAGGGGATGGCTAGTAATATAATATAATATAATATAATATAATATAATATAATATAATATAATATAATATAATATAATATAATATAATATAATATAACATATGATGATATGATATGATATGATAATAGTGTGATCCTGGAGTTGGAAGGGACCCTTCAAAGGCCATCTAGTCCAAGAGATTTCTAGAAAATTCTGACTGTGCAGGCACAGGAAATATTAAATGTGCAACTTCACAGAGACCACGATGAAGAAAAATATAATAATAATAATAATAATAGCGTAATCTTAGAGTTGGAGGAGACCCTTCAAAGGCCATCTAGTTCAACCCCCTGCCCTGCAGAAAAAGCACAATCAAAGCACCTCCAACAGATGGCTATCCAACCTCTGTTTAAAAGCCTCCAAGGAAGGAGCTTTCAATGGACTGTGAAGCAGAGAGTTCCACTGTTGAACAGCTCTTCTTAAGATCAGGAAGTTCTTCCTAATGTTTGCGTGGGATCTCCTTTCCTACCATTTGAACCCAAGGCTCTGTTGAGTCCCAATTCACAATATACATTAGCAGGAAGAAGAGCAACCCTGAGGTCCTGTCTCCTCACCTGCAGGACGTCGGTGGCCGGCAGGTACTCCTCGTTCTCGGCATTCTCGGCGTAGCTCAGCAGCTCCGGCTCCATCTCCGGCGGAGGCCCAGCGGCGTGCCCAGAGGAAGGGGCGCCCCCATCGTCGCAGTCCATGAAGAAGAGGGGCGCAGGGTGGGGGGGGCCCTCCCGCATGTACCACCCGGCCAGGCCCCCCTCCTCTCCTGGGCAGACGTCCATGGCCCCCTCGGACTCCTCTTCGGGGCTGTAGGCCGGGGACTCCCGCTGCGTCGACCCGCTGGAGTAGGCCGAAGTGACCGAGATGGAGCCCTCTGAGAGTTCGGAAGGGGAGGAGACGCTGCTGGCCGTGCTCAGTCCTGTGAGGAGGGAGAGAGTAGGGAAGGAGGAGCATAAGAAGGGTCAGGCTAGATGGCCCCTGGGAGCCCCCTTTGGACCCTATCATCCTATAACCCCATCCTTCCAAAAGATGGAGAGTCAGGGTCATAAGGGACATAATGTATTGTTGTAGTTCAACCAGCTGAGGGTGATGATGAGGGGTTTGGGGGTGCAGGGCCTGCAGGGACTGATACTTCAGCTGAGGATGATGGTGAGGGGTTTAGGGGTGCAGGGCCTGCAAGATCTGATGCTTCTGGAGGTGTCAGACAGAGGGAATGTTGGAACAGGATGGTGATTCCCCGTTTGGGAGAGCGGAGGGGGGGGGGGTTGGTTGATTCTCTGTGTGAAAACAAAACTGTTTTAGAAGCTGACAGGCAGAGAAGGGAGGAAGGGAGGTTAGACAGAGATTCAAGGCTGCTCCTGTGGAGGAAGAATTCCAGATGCGAGCCAGGCCATGGGAAAGTGAGACCGAGAGAGACTACTCAAAGCCGAAAGAATGCTTTTGTGCATTGCTGTCCTTAATTAGGGACAGAATAGCTTTCAGTTTTCAGGCCAAGCAACATAGCAGAGAGAGCAAGAGCCGCCTGCCTTGGTTCTCACGTCAAGCCATGTCCTGGTCAAGTTTTGCTTTAAGTCTTGGGGATTTTACCATGAACTCAAGCTCATGTATTGTTCTTTGATTCTTGGATTACTCAAGTTGATGTTTTATTCCTTGTCCTTGTTCCTTATTCCTTGTTTTATTCCCCTCAAACTTCAGCTGAGGATGAGGGTTTTGGGGGTGCAGCGCCTGCAGGACCTGATACTTCAGCTGAGGATGATAAGAGGTTTGGGGGTGTAGGTCCTGCAGGACCTGATGCTTCTGGAGATGCTCAGACTGAGGGAATATTGGAAAAGGAGAACGGAGGGGGATTTGGTTATTCTCTGTGTGAAAACGAAACTGTTTTAGAAGGTGACAGGCAGAGAAGGGAGGAAGGGGGTAAGACAGAGATTCAAGGCTGCTTCTGCGGGGGAAGAATTCCAGATGCGAGCCAGGCCATGGGAAAGTGAGACGGGGAGAGACTACTCAAGGCCGAAGGAATGTGTTCGTGCATTGCTGTCCTTAATCAGGGAAAGAATAGCTTTCAGTTCTCAGATCAAGCAACGTAGCAGAGAGAGCAAGAGCAGCCTGCCTTGTTCCTTGCTTCAAGCCATGTCCTGGTCAAGTTTTGCTTTAAGTCTTGGGGATTTTACCATGAACTTAAGCTCATGTATTGTTCTTTGATTCTTGGATTACTCAAGTTGATGTTTTCTTCCTTGTCTTTTGGATTAATCAAGTTCATGATTCTGCCCTACTCCTTGGATTTATGTTCATGCTTTAACTTTGCATTGGAGATTTATCTCTGGCTTTTGGGACTCTTTCTAGCTTTGCCTATTTGTGTCCTGGTCAAGATTTGCTTTAAATCTTGGGGATTTTACCATGAACTCAATCTCATGTATTGTTCTTTGATTCTTGGATTACTCAAGTTAATGTTTTATTCCTTGTCTTTTGGATTAATCAAGTTCATGTTTGTTCCATGTACCTTGGATTTATGTTCATGCTTTAACCTTTGCATTGGAGATTTATCTCTGGCTTTTGGGACTCTTTCTAGCTTTACCTATTTGGATTTTTTACTCTTTTACTGTGTGTGCTTTTTCAATAAACTGTTTATTCCTATGCTTGGCTTCCTGGTGAGTGCTTGAGCCAGGTGAGCCCTAGCTGAGGTGCAACATGCACACCTGTAGTACCTACACCTGGCTTGGTCAAACGTCGGGTCCCCCTTCCCTCCTGAAAACACCCCTTTTGCAACTGCGATTCCACAAGACTTTGCAAAAAGGGACAACTTGGGCTTTGAGTGATGGGAGTCTGCTCTCACCTCTACACTGTACTGTCAGGATTATTGAGTTATGCATGTGTGTTTTTCAATGTGTTTCTATGTGATTCAAGATGGATTAAGATGAAATTCAAAATGGATTCTATTCTGCTCTTTTGTGTATTAAGAAAACCTAGTGCTGAGGCAAAGATAATGTAACCTTGACAGAAATGAGATAACGTGGCTGGGAAGAAGAGGGAGGATCTGGTCTCAGTTAGAAATCAGATAAGCAGATGTTCAGAAACTGTTGTTTTGTGCTTTGTAGTTCCTGTCTGTTGCTTGCTGTGAATGGCCGTGTATAGATGTACTTAGTAAACTTAGTTTTCTGTTGTAACTAAAAGCTTGCAGAGTCCTGATTTCTAAATACAGTGTCTGCTGATCTAGCAATCCTTCCGCTGGCAAAGTTTCAATACAACAAATGTTATGGAACCACGAGAGCTGTTTTCCGATGCCCTCGCCACGTGTTTACCCCGCACACTGACCTGTGTCTGGGCTGGCCGAGAGCGGGGAGGGGATGTGGAGGGCCTCCACCAGCCGCCGGGGTCCCGTCGCGCAGGTCTTGCTGCTTCCGGCGCTCACGGCTCCTTCCGGCTCTGGGCGGGCCCCTTCCTCATCTTCCTCTTCCTCCTCCTGCGCTTCCTCTTCCTCCTGGGCTTCCTCTTCCTCTTGGCGCTGCATCTCCTCCAGGCGGGAGGCCAGCCGGACGTGTCCCCGGGAGCGGGCGACCGAGAGGGGCAGGCGGCCCAAAGAGTCCGGGATGGAGAGCGCCGCCCGGTTCCAGCGGAAGAGCAGCTGCGCCGCCTCCAGGTGCCCCAGCGCACAGGCCCACATCTGCAACCGGAGGGCAAGGTCAGCATGAGCATGCAGGCCCAGCAGCCACAGGAGAGAGGGAGGTGGCCAATTGGGTGAGGACCTCCACTCTGGGATTTCCCAGCGTTGGAAGAGATCCTCAAAGGCCATCTAGTCCAGCCCTTCTGCCATGCAAGGAAAGCAGAATCAAGGCTCCCTCAACTGCGGGCCTTCCAGTCTCCATCCTCACCAACATAACAGAATCCTAGAGTCCAAACACCTTCCGTCATTATGCAGGAAAAGCACCATTAAAACCCCCGACAGACTCAATAATAATAATAATAATAATAACAACAACAAAAACAATAATAGTAAAATCCTAGAGTTGGAAGGGACTTCTAAAAGCCATCTAGTCCAGCCCTCTTCTGCCATGCAGGAAAAGTACCACTAAAGCTCTTCTGAGAGAGGGCCATCCATAGAATCCTAGAATCCTAGAGTTGGAAGAGACCTTCTGGGCCCTCATCTAGTCCAACCCCATTCTGCCAAGAAGCAGGAATATTGTATTCAAAGCACCCCTGACAGATGGCCATCCAGCCTCTGTTTAAAAGCTTCCAAAGAAGGAGCCTCCACCACACTCCGGGGCAGAGAGTTCCACTGCTGAACGGCTCTCACAGTCAGGAAGTTCTTCCTCATGTTCAGATGGAATCTCCTTCCTTGTAGTTTGAAGCCATTCTTCCATTGCGTCCTAGTCTCCAAGGAAGCAGAAAGGAAGCTTGCTCCCTCCTCCTCCCTGTGGCTTCCTCTCACATATTTATACATGGCTATCATATCTCCTCTCAGCCTTCTCTTCTTCAGGCTAAACATGCCCAGCTCCTTAAGCCGCTCCTCATAGGGCTTGTTCTCCAGACCCTTGATCATTTTAGTCATCCAGCCTCCATAATAATAATAATAATAATAATAATAATAATAATAATAATAATAATAACAGAATCCTAGAGCTGAGAGAGACCCCCAAAGACCATCGAGTCCAGCCCCCTTCTGCCATGCAGGAAAAGCACAAAGCTTCCCCAATAGAGGGCCATCTAGCCTCAATAATAATAATAATAATAATAATAACAACAACAATAATAGAATCCTAGAGTTGGAAGGGACTTTTAAAGGCCATCTAGTCCAGCCCCCTTCTGCCATGCAGGAAAAAACAATCAAAGCTCCCCCGACAGATGGCCATCCAGCCTCTATTTAAAAGCCTCCACGGAAGGAGCCTCCACCAGACTCTGGGGCAGAGAGTTCCACTGTTGAACAGCTCTTACAATCAGGAAGTCCTTCTTAATAATGTTCAAGTGGAATCTTCTTTCCTGCCATTAGAAGCCATTGCTCCCTCTTCCTTATGACACCCTTTCACATATTTACACGCGGCTCTCATGTCTCCTCTCAACCTTCTCCTCTAGCATGCTAAACATCCCCAGATTTAACTGTATGGGGGTTATTGTGTGCAGAAAACGGCACGTCCTATGCTGAGAATATTATTTCCATACCCTTTACATAGATCCACTCCCCAATTTGCTCCATTCCATTGTTTACATAAATCCTCCCACTCTGCTCCTCAATGAGGACTAATGGGATGCTGGGCAAATTTGCTGGGCGGATTCAGCCTGGGTGAGGAATGCCCTCTTACCAAAGGGGTGCAGGAGAAATGGTCCACGTTGAGGGGGTCCACCTCTTGCTCCAGGTCTAGGCTCTGAACGTTGAGGTTCCTGAGGAGGGGAGGGAAGGAGAAACCGGGTCACGTTGCGACTGCAATTCCAAAAGACTTTGCAAAAAGGGGTCAACTTTGAGTGACGAGAGTCTGCTCCCACCTTAGCCCAGGCATGGGCCAACTTTGGCCCCCCCTCCAGGTGTTTTGGACTTCAACTCCCACAATTCCTAATAGCCGGTAGACACAGACTTGTATCTATACAGTCTGTGTCTACTTTCTTGTTGGAAATTGTAACCTGTAACCTGTAATTTGTTTTATATACTTGTTTGCTTACTGTATTGTATATGTATGTTTTGGTATGCAGCTTTCCCTTTACTCTGTGTTTCTTGAGGTTGTGGGAGGTGCTGCAGAGCATATGATCAGAACTGAGACTGCTCAGAGCTCAGACTCCATTTCAGACTTCTGATCTGGGACTGATCAGAGCTCAGACTCCATTTTAGAACTCGGAGACGCTTTTAGACTTCAGACTCCATTAGAGATGCTTTAGACTTTGGACTGTTAACATTCTAAGAAAGATGATAATAATAATAATAATAATAATAATAATAATAATAATAATAATAGTTTATATTCCGCCCTTCTCACCCTGAAGGGGACTCAGGGCAGAAAGCTAGATGCATTAAATCACTACTGACCAAGAGGTCATGAGTTTGAAGCCAGCCCGGGTCAGAGTGAGCTTCTGGCCATTGGTCTAGCTTGCTGTCGACCTTTGTAACCCGAAAGACAATTGAATTTGTCAAGTAGGAAATTTAGGTTACTATAGACCGGGTTGTGGTGCAACTAGCTGAAAGTTAGATGCATTAAATCACTACTGACAGAGAAGTCATGAGTTCGAAGCCACAGCCCGGGTCAGAGTGAGCTTCCGGCCATTAGTCTAGCTTACTGTTGACCTTTGTAGCCCGAAAGACAATTGCATCTGTCAAGTAGGAAATTTAGGTACCACTTTATGTGGGGAAGCTAATTTAATTAATTTATAACACCATAAAAAACCTTCCTGAGGCATGCATAAGAATGAGGAAGTACTCCCATCAAGGACTCGATGCCACAAGTGGACAGTGAAGCGGCAGCTCCCCTTGTGACTGGAGCCGAGCATACCCTCATGATGCTGGAATGTTAAATTGCCTCTGTGTCTGTCTACATATGTTGTATGTCTAATGGCATTGAATGTTTGCCATGTATACATGCATTGTAATCCATCCTGGGTCCACTGCGGGGTGAGAAGGGCGGAATATAAATATTGCAAATAATTAAATTAAATTAAATATATACTTTTTGCTGTAGTTAGCTACTAGTGGATTCTGTGCAGTGATGGGTGAAAAGGTGGGTGAGAGTGCAACACTTCCTTCTCTTTGTTGCTGTGGGACTCACCGCCACCGGATGAGGGCCTGGATGAGGCGGGTGTACCCTTGGGCGGCGGCCAGGTGCAGGAGGGTCATGCCCCGGAAGCTGACGTGGTGGACCAGCGTGGCTCCTGCCCGCAGCCAGCAGGGCTGGGCCATCATCTTCTCGCACAGGGCCACGATCCGGTCCTCGAAGGAGTCCGAGGCAGCCTGTATCAGGAGGAGAGGGTGGAACTCTTGTCACTGTCTATAACAGGTATGGGCCAACTTGGGCCCTCCAGGTGTTTTGGACTCCAACTCCCACCATTCCTAACAGCCTCAGGCCCCTTCCTTTCCCCCTCAGCCGCTTATGCTAGATGCTAGAGTGATAGACCTAAAAGATGCCTACCTTCATATCCCAACAGATATAACGCTGAAGCTAGATGCTAGTGATAGACCTAGAAGATGCCTACCTTCATATCCCAACAAATAGATATAAGGCTTAAGCGGCTGAGGGGGAAAAAGAAAGGGCCTGAGGCTGTTAGGAATGGTGGGAGTTGGAGTCCAAAACACCTGGAGCGCCCAAGTTGGCCCTTGCGTGGTCTATGGTCAATTCATCATGCCATTGGGATTTGCCCTTGATCGCAACCCGGCTCTTCAAAGGGACGGCGAGGCGCAAGCGGACAATGAAATGTCAAGGCGGCAGCTGACCAGAGATTAGGTTACCGTCCCTTTCTCCCAAACAGGGACATCCCAGCAATGGCTCTCTCTTTGGTGCAGGGGGGGGTCTCAAGGGCACTGAGGGGTCCAAGCATGTGAGGCCGGCCTGGCCCTGAGCGCGGAAGAATCCCCACAACACCCGGCTCCTCTGAAACCGGAGAGGCAGGAAGGAATGCCGGCGGCACGACCCACCCGCAGGCTGACGATGCAGCGGAAACCCGATCCCAAGACCTCGAAGAATCGCTCTCGTTTTGGGTCACAATAACCTTAACCCAGCCAGCGACTGCTCTGAATTCGGACGTAAACGCAGCACGGATCGGAGGCAGGCTGCTTCCTTCCTCAGTTGCCACACCATTATTATTATTATTATTATTATTATATGTTTATTATTGTATTATTATTGCTTCCCTCCTTCTGAGTTGCCAGGCCATTATTATTAATATAATTATATGTTTATTATTGTATTATTATTGCTTCCCTCCTCCTGAGTTGCCACGCCATTATTATTATTAATATTATTATTATTTGTTTATTATTGCATTATTATTGTGTCCCTCCTTCTGAGTTGCCATGCCATTATTATTAATATTATTATATGATTGTTTATTATTATATTATATTAATAATATGTGTATTGCATGATTAATATTATTTGTTATATGATTATGTTTATTATTATATGGATTATGTTTATTATTATTTGGATTGACCTTGAAGGAGCTGGGGGTGGTGACGGCCGACAGGGAGCTCTGGCGTGGACTGGTCCATGAAATCATGAAGAGTCAGAAACAACGGAACGAATGAACAACAACGACATATAATATGTTTATTATTGTATTATTATTGCCAAGGAGCCCCTGCTTCCCTTCTTCTGAGTTGCCATGCCATTAGTATTAATATTATTATCTTTATTACATTATGTTTACTATTATACTGTATTATTATTGTATTTATTATATTATTATATTTGTTATTGTATTTACTATTATTATTAAAAAGTGTTTATTATATTATATTGATTATTGTATTATTATTATTGCTAAGGAACCCATTTCTAGTATTCTGAGTTGCCATGTGTTAGTACTAATATTATGTTTATTATATTATGTTTATTATAATATTATTGTGTTTATTATTATTATTATAATATTATATTTATTATTGTATTATTCTTGCAAAGGAGTTGCCATGCCATTAGTATTAATATTATTATATAATTATGTTTTATATAATAATAATAATAATAATAATAATAATAATAATAATAATAATAATTTATTGTATTTTTACTGCCAAGGAGCCCCTTGGCAAGTGGGGTGTATATATACCTGTGGAATAATTACCAGGGTGGGAGAAGGAGGTCTTCCCCCAGACAGGAAGGAGCGAGGCTTTGAAGCAGCAAAGCTATTCAATGCTAATCAAGGTGGCCAATTGCAACATTCACACTTGACTCCAGGACATTATTCCACGGGTAGATATACACTCCACTTGCCCCCTTGCCAACAGAACCTATACACACACACCCCACTTGACTAGTTTCCAACAGACCTCACAACCTCTGAGGATGACTGAGATACACGTGGGCAAAACGTCAGGAGAGAATGCTTCTGGAACATGGTCAGAGAGCCCAGAAAACTCACAGCAACCCAATAATAATAATAATAAAAAGAAGAAGAAACCCTTCTAATCAGGCTCTGGGATTGATAGTTTTACACAGTGAAGCCTGGAAATGCTGTTCCATGGACTGCCTGTATGCAACCACAGACTGATGGGTTGGGGCGAAGGAAATGGTATCACCTTGGGAAAAGTTACTTTTGGGGTGGGGCATCCTTTCCAAGGTGTAATCCTTGCCTCAGGTCCTTTTCACCTTTTTTGTGTGTCAAGGGTGACGAGAAACTGCAAGTCGCTTCTGGTATGAGAGAATTGGCTGTCTGCAAGGGCGTTGCCGAGAGGACATTGCCCGGATGTTTTAATGTTTCCCCATCTTTGTGGGAGGCTTTTCTCATATCCCCTCAGGAGGAGCTGGAGCTAACAGAGGGAGCTCATCTGCGCTCTCCCCGGATTCGAACCACCAACATGTTGGTCTTCAGTCCTGCCAACACAAGGGTTTAACCCATTGCGACACTGGGGGTTCCCCTTTCTCCTTGAGTACAGCATTGCTTTTGCAAGAGTTTACAAAAGTTACTTTTGAGAGAGTGAGGACTGCTATAATCATGCCCTTGTGAGCATCCCCAACTTTGACTATAGCTTACATAGAGAGCAAAGAGGGGAAACTGCCTGGAAGGAGGGGCAACTTTGAGTAAGACCTTGGAAAAATTGTGTGGTGGAGGATACTCCAAGAAGTTGCATGTCTCGAATCATTGTCGTGCCCTAAAAGTAACTTTTCCAAGTGTTTGCAATGAAGCAGCTGCAGCTGGGTGTTGTGCCCCCCCCCCAAATAATGAAATCCCTTTGGAAACTCCCTCCCCACTTTTGCTGAGCTGAACGGAAAGAATTCCGCACGCATCCCACCCTGGTGGCCAAAGGGGAGGGGGCAAAGCATGCCTTGCTAATCCCACCCCCCCTCCAAAGGCCCCATGGCCTTTATCTGCACCCCCCCCCCACACACACACATAGCCTCCCACCCCTAAGAATAGCCAGTGTGTCTACTGGGGGGAGAGAAAGATACGGTCAGAGGAAACCTGAGACCCCCGGGGGGAGAGGATGGGGCTAAATATACCTATATGCCGAAGCCTGGCAACAAAGAGGGGAAAGAGAAAGGAGAGAAAGGAAGAGGGAGAGAAGAAGCACAGGACTGAAGAAGACCTCCTATGGAGAGAATCGTGTCAAGAGCAGGCCGGGGCCAACTTGGGCCTTCCAGGTGTTTGGGAGGTCAACTCCCACCATTCCCAACAGTCTCAGGCCCTTTCCTTTTCCACTTAAGCATTCTATCTATCTATCTATCTATCTATCTATCTATCTATCTATCGGGCCCTGAAGGTAGGTCTCTCTTAGATCTATCACTCTCGCATCTATCTATAGGGACCTGAAGGTAGGCCTCTCTCAGGTCCATCACTCTCTCACCTACCTATCGAGACCTGAAGGTAGGCCTCTCTTAGATCTATCACTCTCGCATCTCTCTATAGGGACCTGAAGGTAGGCCTCTCTCAGGTCCATCACTCTCTCACCTACCTATCGAGACCTGAAGGTAGGCTTCTCTTAGATCTATCACTCTCGCATCTCTCTATTGGGACCTGAAGGTAGGCCTCTCTCAGGTCCATCACTCTCTCACCTACCTATCGAGACCTGAAGGTAGGCCTCTCTTAGATCTATCACTCTCGCATCTCTCTATAGGGACCTGAAGGTAGGCCTCTCTCAGGTCCATCACTCTCTCATCTATCTATTGGGACCTGAAGGTAGGCCTCTCTCAGGTCCATCACTCTCTCATCTATCTATCGGGACCTGAAGGTAAGCCTCTCTTACGTCCATCACTCTCTAATCTATGTATAGGGACCTGAAGGTTGATCTATCTTAGGTCCATCACTCTCTCATCTATCTATAGGGACCTGAAGGTAGGTCTCTCTCAGGTCCATCACTCTCATCTATCTATTGGGACCTGAAGGTAGGCCTCTCTTAGGTCCATCACTCATCTATCTACATGAAGGTGGGCCCCTCTTAAGTCCATCACTCTCCCATCTATCTACATGAAGGTGGGCCTCCCTCTCTTAGGTCCAACCCTCTCTCATCTATCTATTGGGACCTAAAGGTAGGCCTTTCTTAGGTCCATCACTCTTTCATCTATCTATTGGGACCTGAAGGTAGGCCTTAGGTCTATCACTCTTTCATCTATCTACCTGAAGGTAGGCCTCTCTTAGGTCCATCACTCTCTTATCCATCTATTAGGACCTGAAGGTAGGCCTCTCTTAGGTCCATCACTCTTTCATCTATCTACCTGAAGGTAGGCCTCTCTTAGGTCTATCACTCATCTATCTACCTGAAGGTAGGCCTCTCTTAGGTCTATCACTCAACTATCTACCTGAAGGTAGGCCTCTCTTAGGTCTATCACTCAACTATCTACCTGAAGGTAGGCCTCTCTTAGGTCCATCACTCTCTCATCTATCTATTGCAGTGTTTCTCAACCTGGGGTCCCCAGATGTTTTTGGCCTTCAACTCCCAGAAATCCTAACAGCTGGTAAACTGGCTGGGATTTCTGGGAGTTGTGGGCCAAAAACATCTGGGGACCCCAGGTTGAGAACCACTGATCTATTGGGACCTGAAGGTAGGCCTCTCTTAGGTCTATTATTCTATCATCTTGCTTACACAGCTGAAGGGGAAAAGGAGGGTGCCTGAGGCTGTTAGGAATAATGGGAGTTGGAATCCAAAACACCTGGAGCACCCAAGTTGGCTCACGTCTGGTACAGGATAATAGATGTCCCTTCCTGCATCAACTGACCTGGCTGGAGGTCCTCTCTCCTCTCTGCTGGGCAGGGGCCGAGACCGAAGTGGCGGCATTGGCGGTCATCTCGGCCATCCGCTTCTCCATCTGCTCCAGCCGCTCCAGGATGGACATCCGGAACTGGTTATCTGAGGAATAGAGGGGAGAATCACCACCGTCATCACTATCATCATCATACTCTTCTTCCCACTTTTCCCCTGGGTTTCGAGGCAATTGGTACAATCAAAACGTTTAAACGCTATTGTTATTATTGAATGGTAAAATAATAATAAACATAATAGTAAGTTTATTTCTTACCCGCCTCTCCCCATTGGCTTGAGGTGGGTCACAGCGCAGTCAAAAGCACACGAATGCTATAAGAATTCTACAAGTGCGCATTATTAAAATGCAGTTCCATAAAAGGCCCCATCTACACAGTCATATAAAATGCAAATGCAAATGCAATTAAGGGTAAGGGGAAAGGTTTTCCCCTGACATTAAGTCCAGTTGTGTCCGACTCTGGTGCTCATCTCCATTCCTAAGCCGAGGAGCCGGTGTTGTCCGTAGACACCTCCAAGGTCATGTGGCCAGCATGACTGCATGGAGTGCCATTACCTTCCCGCTGGAGCGGTACCTATAGATCTACCCACATTTGCATGTTTTCAAACTGCTAGGTTGGCAGAAGCTGGGGCTGACAGTGGGAGTTCAGCCCGCTCCCCAGATTTGAACCTGCAACTTTTTGGTCAGCAACTTCAGCAGCTCAGCGGTTTAATCCACTGCACCACCGGAGGCTCCAAAAATACAATTAAACATTATCATTATATTTAAAATGCAATGTTTTGATAGCCCCCCCCCCCCAGGTGGTGCAGCGGGTTAAAATTGCTGAGCTGCTGAACTTGCTGACCAAAAGGTCGCAGGTTCAAATCCGGGGAACAGGGTGAGTTCCTGCTGTTAAACCCAGCTCCTGCCAACCTAGCAGCAGTTCAAAAACATGCAAATGTGAGTAGATCAATAGGTACCACTTTGGCAGAAAGGTAATGGCGCTCCATGCAGTCATGCTTGGAGGTGTCTACGGACAATGCCAGCTCTTCAGCTTAGAAATGGAGATGAGCACCAGAGTCCCAGTGAGACATGAGTACTTAGCGTCAAGGGGAAACCTTGATTGTTACCTTTAATGTTTTGATAAAATGCATGAGAGAGGAGACCTGGATGGTTTTGTGAAGAAGGGGGGCGGAAATCATCATCATCATCATCATCATCCCACCTTTGGCTCAGGACTCAAGGAAGGCGGCTTGCGATGCAAACACAACTAAACATTCTCATTATATTAAAAATGCAATGTGTTGATAAAATGAATGGGAAAGGGGTGGGGTCATCATCACCATTATCAATACGTTTGTAATGCAAACGCAACTAAATATTATCATTGTATTCCAAATGCAATCTGTAAAATGAATGCGAGACCTGAAAAAAGGGGAGGGGGATCATCATCATCATCACCATCGATTTCATCAACACTGACATCGACATCATCAACATTGACATCATCGACATCGACATCAACAATGACATCGACATCAACAGCGACATTATCAACACTGATATTGATATCATCGACGTCGACATTGACATCATCAACATCGATATCATCGACATCGACATCATCACCATTGACATCATCAACTTTGACATCGATATCATCAACATCGACATCATCAACATTGATATTGATATCATCAACATGGACATCATCAACATGGACATCATCAACACTGACATTGACATCATCACCATTGTAATTGACATCATCAACCTCGACATCATCATCATCATCATCAACAACATCGACATCAACATCGAGATCATCAACATTGACATTGACATCATCAACATCGAGATCATCAACATTGACATAGACATCATGAACATTGATATTGACATCAACATCAACATCTTTGATATCAACATCATTGACATCACCATCATCAACACCATTACCATCAACATCATCATCATTCTACCTTTTCTTCAGGACTCAAGATACCTTGAAATACAAACACAGCTGGACGTTCTCGTCGTATTAAAAATTTATTGCGTTGCTGGGACGAATGAGAAGGGAGACCCTCTTCCTCTCCAGCCCTGGGACCCCCGTGGTGCATTGAAGGAAGGGAGGGAGGGGAATGGAAAGGCAGGGGAAGACGTATTTGAGGCTAATCCTGACTCAGCTTAGCCTCGTTTCCCAGTCTGGGCAAGTGCCAAGGTAATCCTGGCAAGTGGGTGACCTCATGGGGGCGGGGGGCAGAGCCAAGGCCCATAAAGATCAATGGGACAGACACCCTTGCAAGGGGACACTCTCTCCTTTTGGAGACCTTGCAACAACTTGAAGGTACATCAACAACTACAACAATCACCACCTGGACAAGGCATGGGCCAACTTTGGTCCTCTGGGTGTTTTGGACTCCAAGTACCACCATTCATAAAAGCCTGAGACTGTTAGGAATGGTGGGACTTGGACTCCAAAACACTCGGAGGGAAGGCCCAAGCTTGCCAATGCCTGGATTATAATCACCATCACCACCGTCAACATCATTTGAAGTCAACCAGTTATTCAAACACCACTTCATTGCATTAGATTCACTATCACCAACATTGTCATCGTTGTCATTAAAATATGTGAATATTTACATAAAATACATGAGTCTTTGCGTGTGTTTTTAATTTAGCACACAGCTATGGGACAAGTGGGGAAAAGTCAGCATTTCCAGAAGGTCAATTGTCTTCAATAGTGACAATGACAACAACAACTATCGTTATGATATTAATCGTCATTATTACGGGATACGGGGAAACGGGCCCTCATCGCACAAGACTTTTGGTGGTGTTCCTATGCTGTCTTATCCACTACAGTGTTAATTAGCTTGTTAATAAGCCAAACTGCACAGAGCGATCCGCACTCAGTCCTTGAAACAGGAGCAGAAACGGCCAACGTTGAAGAGAGAGCAAAGGAGAGCCTCACAAACCTGGAATCAAAGAAGGGCCTTTCTCACCTCCTGCGGTCTCTAGTCATTCATTCTCTTCCTGTTAGTAATTCTTTATGGAGTCAGGACACTACAGCAGGCATGGGCCAACCTGGGCCCTCCTCCAGGTGTTTTGGACTTCAAATTATAGGGTTCTAAGGCAGACTTTAAACAGAAGCTGGGTGGCCATCTGTCAAGAGGGTTTGGATGGTGCCTTCCTTTAAGGAACCAGGGTGTTGGGCTAGGTGGCTCTTGGGGTGCTTTCAAACATTAGGATTGTATTATTATTATTATTATTATTATCATCATCATCATTATCATCATCATAATCATTACTACTACTACTACTATCATTATGTAGAGGCTGGGTGGCCATCTGTCAGGAGGGCTTGGATGATGCCTTTATGGAACAAGATGGCGATTGGAATGAATGGCCCTTGGGGTCTTTTCAAACTCTAGGATTGTATTATTATTATTATTATTATTATTATTACTATTACAATTATTATAATTACAATTATTATTATTATTATTACTATTACAATTATTACTATTATGATTATTATTATGCAGAGGCTGGGTGGGCATCCTTCGGGAGGGCTTGGATGGTGCCTTCCTTTATGGAACAAGGTGGGGATTGGACTGGATGGCCCTTGGGGTCCTTTCAAACTCAAGAAATGTATTATTATTATATTGCTATTACAAGTATTACAAGTATTACAATAATAATGATGATGATGATGATGATTATTATTATTATTATGCAGAGGCTGGGTGGTCATCTGTCAGGGGGGCTTGGATGGTGCCTTCCTTTATGGAACAAGGTGGGGATTGGACTGGATGGCCTTTGGGGTCTTTTCAAACTCTAGGATTGTATTATTATTATTACTATTATTGTTGTTGTTGTTCTTGTTATGCAGAGGCTGGGTGGTCATCTGTTGGGAGGGCTTGGATGGTGTCTTCCTTTATGAAACAAGGCGAGGATTGGACTGGATAACCCTTGGGGGCCCTTCAAACTCATGGATTGTATTATTATTATTATTATTACAATTATTACAATTATTGTTGTTGTTGCTATTATTATCATTATGCAGAGGCTGGGTGGTCATCTGTTGGGAGGGCTTAGATGATGTCTTCCTTTATGACACAAGGCGAGGATTGGACTGGATGACGCTTGGGGACCCTTCAAACTCATGGATTGTATTATTATTATTATTATTACTATTATTACTATTATTACAATTATTGTTGTTGTTGCTATTATTATCATTATGCAGAGGCTGGATGGTCATCTGTTGGGAGGGCTTAGATGATGTCTTCCTTTATGACACAAGGCGAGGATTGGACTGGATGACGCTTGGGGACCCTTCAAACTCAAGGATTGTATTATTATTACTACTACTACTACTACTACTACTACTATTGATGCTACAGAGGCTGGGTGTCCACCTGTTGGGAGGGACTGGAACAAGGGGGTTGGACTGGATGACCCTTGGGGATCCTTCAAACTCAAGGATTGTATTATTATTATTATTATTATTATTATTATTATTACTATTATTACTATTATTACTATTATTACAATTATTGTTGTTATCATTATCATTATGCAGAGGCTGGGTGGTCATCTATCGGGAGGGCTTGGATGGTGCCTTCCTTTATGGAACAAGGCGAGGATTGGACTGGATGGCCCTTGGGGTCTTAACAAACTCTAGGATTGTATTATTATTATTACAATTATTATTATTATTATTATTATTATTATTATTATTGCTATTATTACAATTATTGTTGTTGTTGTTATCATTATCATTATGCAGAGGCTGGGTGGTCATCAGTTGGGAGGGCTTGGATGGTGTCTTCCTTTATGAAACAAGGTGAGGATTGGACTGGATGACCCTTGGGGACCCTTCAAACTCAAGGATTGTATTATTATTATTATTATTATTATTATTATTATTATTATTATTACTATTGATGCTACAGCGAAGCCACCTGTTGGGACGGACTGGAACAAGGGGGTTGGACTGGATGGCCCTTGGGGTCCCTTCAAACTTTAGGATTCTTTGGAAGTCTTTAAACAGAGGCTGGGTGGCCATCTGTCAGGAGAGCTTGGATGGTGCCTTCCTTTA